ACTGTAAAGAAATTTTTAAGATTAAAAGTAAAGAGTGCACACCACCAAGAGATCCTTCAAAATGAAAGTCAACTCAATTTTCTTGCACTCATAACTCAAATATAGGAACTGGAGCATTAACTGCTTCTGAAATACATTTTAAAAAAAACCAACAAAAACCACCAAAAAAACCCCAAACACAGCAAGGTTCTTTAAAAAGAAAATTAGGATTTCCAAAGAAATAGCACTTACACCATCATGGTGTACATGTTAATGTGCAAACACACAAATGTTGGCAGAGGAATAGAGGTCTCAGAGATGATGAGTTCTTATAATCCTCCTGAAAATAGACAGATAGAGGAAATAAACCTGTAAAGCTTCCACGGCAAAAAAGGCTCCAGAGGGAGCCACAGTGTATTACTGGATACCAGAGTCCACATGGGGCTTTGGTGTCTAACGAGCTGTAAACAAACGAAGTCACAAGACAAGGCTTCATTAATTCTGCTCCTTATAGAACTACTGGATGTGCTTTTTAATTCATTATTCATTCATTGAACCCACTGCCAAAAGATGGAAGCTAAGGACTTAATTTTTAAAAAAAAAAAAAAAAAAAGAATTCAGGGAGAAAGCTAGCAACCTTTATGTTTGAGAAGCCTAATTTTTAGGACAGTAAGATAATCACAGGAGGTAAAGAAACAACCTTCTTTATGGACACTTTGTTCCACAGCATCTGCTGCCAACCCTCTAGAGAAACAATTTTGCAATATACAAACTAGGAATCAGGCTGCAAAAAAGTAACTTACAAGTCTCAGAAATTCTCTTATGTGATATGAGCCAATTCCTGCCCAGGCAAGCCCCCCCTCACAGGATACAAGTGTGACTAGCAAGTTTTGAGACCTGGTCACTGAACTAGCACTTGTTTTTCGTCCAGGATTTGAAGAACTCCGATTTTTCCAATTATATAAATAGAAGTTGTCACATAGCAGGTCACTGATGTCTCATAATTCTGCCCATAATCTCTTTTTCTCTTCCTAGTCCTTATGATCATTTGGAGTTTGGGCTTTACTCTATCTAGTGATTTTTATTTCTTTTTTGGATAGTGTTTCATTCTGCAGAAGCCACAGGATTTGAGTTAAAATTTTCTATTTTAACTAGTCCCTGCCTAAGCACTTGGGGTTTCAGATTATATGTGGACCATGACAAGAAGTCGCATCCTCAGATAAAAACAATACACCCATGCTTTCTGCTCATCAAGAGGCAGTGATTTCAAGCACAGTTTGATGGATGGCCAAGTTCTGGCTTCAATTCACACTAGGATGATTAAAATTCTCGTAGGGTGAACCCAGATGTTATCTCACTGAAAAATACGCAGATTAAGCATGGAACTGAAGTCTGAAAATGCCAATTATCCTGTTTTATCCTGCCTAAAAATAAAGGCTGCGTGTGTTGGAAGACACCGCCTCCCAACCGAAAGTAGTTTAATAATGAAGAATTTCACTACTTATTGTGCTTCCCTTTTTTCTTCTCTGCCGAGTCCCTGATCATTTCCCTCACTGCTTCGATGTAACAGCACATTCTGGTAGATGAGAGGTTTTAAAATAGGATTACTGCTTTGCAAACTGTGCTGCTAGCTAGCATTTTCTAACTGATTCCCTCCCCTCCTCCCCCCCCCCCCCCCAGCTTCCCCGTCGAGGGGCGCGAAGCTCCTCGCCCAGGAGCCATCTCAGCGGCCGAAATCTCTGAGCTGCTTTTGACGACGTGCGAGTGATCAAAGGTGTTCTCCCAGCAAACCCAGTCCTTCCCCGCTCCACCGCTTTGGCGGGGGGGCCTTT